GAGCGTGTCGGCTGGTAACGGCGAAGTAGGAGATCTTTAATGGGGCATTTGTTCCGCCGTAAAACAGAGCGTAGCTTCCAAACCAACCTTGTGCCCTTTCGGTCTCTCTTCCTATAAATTAAGGGATTTTTTTTTTAGATTGTTGGAGTGATTATTGGCATTCCCATTTTGCGTGCGTTGGGCGCACAGCTCCAAATCCCAGGTGGAATTTCCAGTAGTCTGCATTGCGCTGAGTCGGGTAAACATCTCGGGCTGCTTTCGGCTTCCAGGGGAGGATCAGGATGACATCTGGAGCGCTGTTTATAGCCGGGCACGGGCTGGGAGGTTCGCAGTGACCTTTGACTAAGCGTGGCCGGAGCCCGGTGGGAGCCGGGGCTGTCGGTGTTTCACAGCGGAGCTCTCGGGGTGTGGCTGGGGGCGCGCTTACCGCTCGGAGCTCTGCCACAGGCACCCTGCTCCTGCCTGAGCAGCCCGGCTCGGCGATGGTGAGGTCTTCTAGTTTCATTAAAATACGGAAAAGTACCTCTGTTTTCGTTAAAAACTAATTAAAACGATGCTGACTCATTTGATTTTATAGGCTTAATATTAATAGTTAGTTTGAATTAAACTTTGTTTCTCTCTGTCCTGTTTTAGTCGGTGTTAAATACAAGCACATCCTTACTGGGATGTCTTTGCTTATGAAGTGTTTTTTAGTACTAAAGTATCTTACCTTAGCAGTGTGGATTCTTTGTGCAAGAAGATACAGCCCTTTCTTTTGATTGAGTAGAGGTGAGAAGACGCTGAAAAGTGAGGGTAATCATGAAGCTTTGACCAGTGCTTGTTGCCTTTTTCAGGTATAAATTGTATCCTCGTGTTTTTACATGCTTTGAGTGAGCCAGATTGCCCCTGCTAGGGGTTTCTTTGTGTAGCCTTGTTAGCACAAGGTGGTATTTACTCTTCTGTTGCTGACCTGAGTATTTGTGTCTTTTGGAGAAAGAAAATCTTTAAAGAAGAGCACTTATGTAACTGAAATCATTTTCATCACTGTAAATCTGCATTAACCCTAATGAAAACTTAGTTTATGGTTGCGATTTGGGGGTGGGAGGGAAAGGAACCAGACTCGGGAGGTTTGTGTTGGTGCTTGCGACGTGTGCTCACCTGTTTGTGTGGGAGCTGGAACAGGGGAAACTCAGTGAAGATATTTTTACATTTCCCACAGTGCAGCGAATTCATGTGTGTAACTGAGCACTGTTTTTCCCCAAACCTGTGTTTCTTTGATTTTTTTTCTTTTTGGTTCATCATCGCTATGCTTTCACCTGACTTTCAGGATGCCCTGTTGTCTGTAAAGAGGTTGAAATCAAGCGTTTATATTAGATGTTCACTTAGACACAAACAGGATTTTAAGCAGTAACTGGTTTTGAGGCCCGTCAGAGCCCCCGGTCTCGTGACGGCTTTGGTTTAATGCAGTCAGAGATCATTTCTGGAAGGGCTTCCGCATCCATCCTCCTCCCGCTGAGGAGGCGAGAGGGCTGTCTCAGCCCTGCCACGCTGCGTCGGGAGATCAAGGGTGTACAAAGAGGGAGAAATGGTTCGCTTTACAGTTTTAATGAAAGTTAGCTTGAAAAACATTTTGTTTCAAGAGGTATCAGATGTGCTATTAAAATTAATTGGTGACTATTTGATGTTACCAGCCTCCTTACATTTCATGTACTAGCCAAGCATTCAGATAGTCCCCAGGGTCTGATTTCATTTCCCGGAGTAAAATTGCTTAGTAGTGAAAGACTGGTGATTGGTTTCACTTGCAAATATCAGGGCTGAGGTTTTCAGATTTCGGGCAGCGCAGCATGCTGGGGTTTTGCGAAGCAGCGTAGGACTCCTGGGAGATGCGACGTCGGTAGGATCTTGCAGGAAATATTAGCAGAGGCAAGTGTTCCGGGCACTGGCTACCAAAACCGGGAGTCTGGACAGAATGAGGAGACAAATCCCGTGTCAAAAGGACTCTTCTGGTCATGTACACGTCTTGAAGGGGTCGTTCGGTGTTTGAAGACCCCGCGTGCTGTCGGGAGCTCCGCAGGCGCCGAAGCCGCCCCGCGAGAGACGCAGGGTTTGGGGGAGCACACACGCCTGCCCTTCGATGCCGCTCTGCAGGGGGATCTCCAGCTGGCTGCTGCGCTTCCTGGTGGCGTGTTAGAAAGGGGTATTTCCTGCTGCTTTGCTTTTCACTCATTCGGAGCTTTCTTCACCATAACCAAGAAGTGGAGAGAGCAGGCGTGTTACCATGAGGTCAACAAACCTTGGCTGCGCGTCAGTGAGCTGTCTTGCCATGGTTTTGTTCTCTTTTGTGAAGGAACGTTTAACTCCACAATAGTTCAGGATTTACCCCGTTCCACTTGCCATAGGTATGAGTGATACTGCCTTTCTCGCAGCCAGCTTCCGAAGCCTGCCAGCCTTGGCCTTGTACCACAAAAGTGTGGCTTCGGACCAGAGAAGTAACTGCTTTAGCAAGAAAAATAAGGAAAAAATGGGCAAGAGCTTCATTAAAGCAGAGGAATGGCATTTATGGGAAGCCTATGAGTCTGCATGGATAGTATTATAGAGAATTATGAAACACATGTAGGAAACTAATTAGAGAGGGGATTAGCTGAGTGGAACAGGATTCCACAGTGATTAATAGATGTGTTGAATATTTTGCAGCACTTCTCGTAGATGGTTTTGGGTGCCTTAAACAAGACAAATATTCAATCTGCCACTGAGTACTTTGGTTTTTTTTATGTATATAACAGATTTGTTGCAGGTCTGCAAGCAAGCAGCTCTCCTGAGGGGAACAGCTTAAGCTCTGGTCAACCCATACAGTAAAATATCAATTATTTGTCTATATAAACTTGAAGAAAAGGGGAAAATGAAACAATCTATTTTGCCTTTCATTGAAAACTGGCAGTTCGAGCGCGGGTCCGTGTAGTTTTGCAGGCTGGTGTCAGCTGGCGGTGGCTGCTTCGGGGAGAGGGCCAGGCCCCGGTGCCGGGCTCTTGTTGGGACGCAGTGCCGGAGCTGTCTCGGGGCAATCTTAGCTAGAACCTCCGTGTCCTGGTTCTCGTGGCCTCGTGGAGGGTCTCGCATCCAGCAGGAGATGACTTGCAAGACGCAGGGCTGGGGCGTGCTGGGAGCGGAGGCCTGGCTGGCCAGGAAATCATTAGTTTGCGTGAGCAGAGTGAGCGCGTCGGAATAAATGGGCATCTTGACCGTGACAGATAGGCAGCTGATCACACAAAATAACCAGCTCAAATGCGACTTCATTTTGAGCTGTAGCCAAACTGCAGCATAAACAGTTGGAAACAGAGTGAAACTTTTAGTTAGGCTTAAAAAATTAAGATGGGCAGGGAGGAGAAGAGAAGAATAACCTTCATTCTGAACTTCATGATTTTCAGGTGGCCTGCAATTCCTTAGAGGCTACGTGCTGAGGTTGCTTTTAATGGGATTTACGTATTGATTCCTCTAAACCTTCACCTGTTGTGAGGACCAAGGCTCATGCCCACTGAGAGCGGTTTTTCCCTTCCACAGACACATTTAGTCTGTGCTTCTCTGGGTGTAGTGCCTTGTGAAGTGGAAGTCACGGAATGTGTTTTGGTTCGTGCTGTCTCGGGGGGTAGGAGAGATGGGGCACTGCATTCCTGCTGCCTTTGTACCTTTCCTTGGGATGCTTCATAAGCAGGTCCTCGTTGTGGCAGAGGAGCTGTGTGTGAGGCTGAGAAATGAAAAGGATTACATGGTGTATGACAGGAACAAAGGTAATTCTGCAGATATCTATGAGGGCTTGTCTTGGAGTTTACCTACCATTTTATAAATTACAAAGGGAGACAGATTTTGCTTAGAAGCTCCGGAAGTATTCTACTTTATAGTTGCAGTCATCTCTAATGAAAATAAACGTTCAGAGGTATTGTCATTAAAGGCTTTGAGATGATACACTAATAAGCATCTGAACTGCATAGCTAAGTAATTCATATGAGGAATGAGTCCACAGAGGTGTTTGGATCATGCTGTTTACGTAAATAAAAACAGGTTGGTAATTAATGACACTTGTTAGGCTGTCTAACAATTTTGCCTGAGTTAGGCTTTTGTGCCTCTGGGGACACAGCTATTGATGTTGTTCCCATCAATTTCTTTTTTTCATCTTTTAGGTACAATCAACAGAGTACCAAGCAGGTTAGAAATTATTCTAGCCAACTGGTCTGGAAAGTTGAGGTCTGGTGAAGTCAGCTAAGATCAGGAGGGATGGCTGGGTGGGTGTGCTTGCTGGGAGAGACACTCGATCTGCCCTTTGGCTGTTACAGTAATTTCAACCAGGGACGAGCAGATCCTGACTAATTAGAAATCTGGAAGAGACCACAAACCACCTTAGAAAGATCTTTTTTTATGCAAGAAGCTAACTTAACTGTAGCTGCTTTTCTAGTTTTCCACTGTTCAAATACAACTTCTTGTATACATATAGGTTTTGCTAGGCCCTGTGCACAGGACACTGCTGTGACTCACCGGGAGTGTTTGAACATAGCTTTTAATAGCTCGTGCCCTGCATAGAAGCTACTGTGCCAAACTATACTTAGTGTTCCTTCAAGCCACTGGGCAGTCCAAGTCGTAAGTCAGAATTGATGTTCACAGAATCACAGAATAGTAGGGGTTGGAAGGGACCTCTGTGGGTCATCTAGTCCAACCCCCCCGCCGTAATTGTTACATTAAAGCAGGATATGTTAAAATGACTATTATAGAATGATTGTGTACAGTAAGGCACTACCTACATTCAGCCAATGTAACATTAACATACAATGCCATTTAATGCCAAAAAAATACTACTTTAATGTTTTTCTAGTTACTGTGTGGAGAAAAAAAAAAACATTGCCTCTGACCCCAGTAAAAGAAAATTTCTGGCTCACCCAAACATCCTTTAAAAAAGTTAAATATGATAAGCGTTATTTACTTGGAGTGCTTGTTGTCATGGGTAAAGAGATTTGAAAAAGCGGTAAACCACCTTGGCATGTGTTCATATTTACGGGCAGGGGGAGAATCTGCTTTGTGCTTGGTCTTTTAGGTTGTCATTTGTCTACATCTGAGTACTCGTGAAAAGAAAAAGAATCTCATTTCAGTGTTTATAATGGTTATCTTAAACATTTCCTGTTTATCTCCAAATGAAGTTCGAGGTCTCTTTAATTAGAAAATTGACTTAGGTCTTTCTTGGGTGGAAAGAGTTCGAGTACGCTGGATTAGGGAAGGTCTGTTTTCCTGAACGCGTGCTGACTTTCAGACTTCAGGTAACTAACTGTCAAGGACTGACATAAACCGTGTGCGAGTGCTGGCGCGCCGGTATGCTAATAGCAGAGGGAACGCAGCGTGTGACCGGCTGCGTGCTGGTAGCTCGGCTGTCGAGCAGGCAGAGCGAGGAGGCAGCAAGCTCTGTGTTGGCTGGAACGCTGGAGCTGGTGTCTACAGCTCCATAAACTGTTCATTCCCTGGTAGCCACTCCTGGGCTACTGAACGGGCGGTGCAGAAGTGCAGAGCTTTGCAAAACGGTGTTGCCATCCGCGATGTAAGCGAGGAGAGAGCTCACGGTTCCCCCTTTAACACTGCCTCAGCCTCAGCAGCATCCCCAATTCCTCGGTATCTGCCTATTTATCCATTTCCTGCACCCTTTGGGGAAAGCTGACACAATGTAGTGCGTTGTGCAGCTCAGGAATCTGATTCTTCTAACAGCACAAACTTCCAATTATAGACAAACATGCAGCGATTTATGCTTTCAGCTTGGGGTTGCTGCTTGTGGTGAGACTTGGCACTCGTCAGCACATTTGCAACTGCTCTTGGCGCAGCAGCAAATGGAACGGCTTGTGGATGCAAGCTGTGTCCAAGCTGTGGTCTAGATTAAATTTGGTAAGCATGGCTGTTAATCACGTTGATCCATATACCCTGCAAAGTGGATTGGTAAAGCTGTGGGAGAAATTACCTGAATTTACCGAAGTTGAAGACTTCAGTGACTTCTTCAGTTGTTGCGTCTCAGTGGTCAGCGTGTGAGCCGCGTAAGGCTGAACGCCGGCTGCTGTGCTGTGCTGGAAGCCCTGGTAAGATGAGAGGTTTTTGTCTGTGCGCAGATGGTCGGGAAACAAAGGAGGGTGTTCTGGCCTGCTTTTAGGGGTTACTGCTGAGTTTTGCGAAGGCAGTTAGTTGGTCAGTGTCTCTGAATTTCTCAGGGACCAAGATGATCTCGTGTTGGCTTAAAGTCTAAGTCATTAAGAATCCTTAAGGTTAGAATCTGTTAAGAAATTATATTTTGTTTTTAAGAAACTTATTTCTAAGTTGTTCACGGTGTGTGATGCTCTTAGTGTGTTGCAGTACAGTGTTTTCCAGAAAATCACTGTGTTCAGCTTCCCAGATACAAGTGCAACACGCAGTAGTACTCTTACAAGAGCAGCAACAGGTTTTTAAATCGATGAGTAAGTATTTGCTCAGCCCTCAGTTTAAAAACCCTCGTCACTTGTGATCCAGTTCCAAACCACATGAAAACCTAGGAATGCCTTGGCCGGCTGCGTCTGCCTTGCCCCCCGCCCCGATGGCGCGGGGCGGGGGATATACCGTGGCGTTTCCCACGCGCGTTCTCACGGCCGCCGGCTGTGTCCGTCGGAGCCGGAGGTGCCTCTGCGGGGCTGATGGCCGACGGCACCGGGCGTGTGGGGGTCCGTGCCTTGCCTGCACCGTCATTGCTGACGCGGAGCTCCACCTTGCCGCGGAACCTGTGAAAGCTGCGCTCTGCTCCCTGGCTGCTCGGAAAGCCCGCGTTTTGATGGTTTGAGCTGGTTGTTTTCACAAGTGAAATGGTGCAGGAGAAGAGAAGCGTGTTTCTCTGTGCCTGCAGTGTGCAAGAATGAGATCCTGGCTGTGTTACCATGTTCTCCTGGGTGGTGGGTGCTTCTGGGGCAGGTAAAGCTTCAGTTATTTTGCTTCCCCTGAATAGGTCATAGAATCATAGAAAGTTTTGGGTTGGAAGGGAGCCCTAGAGGTCATCTAGTCCAACCCCCCCACAGCGAGCAGGGACACCGCTAACGAGATCAGGGTGCTCAGAGCCCTGTCCAACCTGGTCTGGAATGTTTCCAGGGATGGGGCCTCCACTGCCTCTCTGGGCAACCCGTTCCAGAGATGCAGAAAATGCCCTTCAAACTTATACAAAAACGTCTGGGATTTGGCAGTGAAGAATGACTTTTCACTTGTGCTAAATTTTATTGACTTCAAGATACCTTAATGAAACGTTGTGCTTTCTAGTAGAGAAGGAGCTAAAGCCCGTTGGTTGGAAGAAAAGCGTTATTGTAGAGCCTTGTGGCAGACTCGTGTCAACTGCTGAGTGGGCAGCGTGTAAAATACTTGAGATTTTTGTTGCAGGAAAAGAAATTAAAAGACCCCAAACTCCGGGATTTGGGAAGTGTTAATTGCCCTCTTGCATGGATGCCCGCATCTCCTTTGGCTCTTCGCCGTGCTTGGTGACACAGATCAGAGGACTGACAAAATGCGGACAGTGGGCAGACGTGTGCCGTGGGACCTGTTGTTGTGGGATCATCTTGGGCCTCCTGTTCTGCCAGGGGGCCAGGACTGCACAGCAAGGGCGAAGGGAGCACCCGCCTCAGGAAAGCACAGTCTTGGGTTGCCTTACAACGATGAATAAAATGACATTTTTTCTGCGCAGAGATTTCTCGGGTGCTTTCCCAAGGTTTCGCAGGGTCTAGGGCAGCAGTAAGCATTGTGCCGTGCCAAACCCGGCGTGCTGTGCGTGTGTCGCGGGACGTGGCCGGAGCCCGAGTCCCCGGCCGGCCCCATGTAGCTGGAGCTCCTCAGGAGAGGCTGAAGGAGTAGGAAAGGGTATGTTGTCTGGGGGGGGTTAAGTGCGTCCACGGTGGAGGTTCTGGTGTCTGACAAACAGCAGAGTAGTGAAGGTAAAAATGCCCTTAGATCCGCTTACACGACAGCTGTGCAGCTGAGCTGTCGGCTGTGCCTGCGCTCTCGAGGGGAGTCCGGCCCGTCGGAGATTGACTCAGACCAGCAAAACAGTCTTGGTAATACCCTCTGTGCGGATGAGCTGTGATTCCTTGATTCTAGTTTGATCTGATGGTGGTTCTTTAGAGCAAATAATTTTCATATCAGGTTATACCCGCAGTCAAAATCCTAAAATAGTAATGATTTAATCTGCTAAAGTAGCTAGCAGTGATCTACCAAGCTGTTTTAACCTGATGCTGTAATGTGATACACTTGGGATTTATGAAAGCAAATGTATTTCTTAGGTACTTGCCTGGTATTTTTAGGTTTGTTAATGAGAATGGATCAGATACTGTGAGAACGTGACCAGAACTGCTTTTAGAGGTCGTTGTCTTAGCCCATGGTGAAACGCCAAACACATATGATCTTTTTAGGATGTGGTTAAATTAGTAGTGTCTTTATGTGTTACAAATGTTTTCTAATATTATAGGTAGTTTCCAGAAGGAAAGGTTTCCTAAGCTGTACAAAGAAGGAGCTCTGTCGTTCTGGGGCTTTAGAACCTCCGGCCTGCTGTGGTGGGCCTGCCACAGCGCAGCCGTCAGCTGTCCCCCGACTGCCATGGCCCCGCGCGGGGCTGACACCCGGGGGAGTTCAATAATGTGGATTATAATGGTGGGTAAGGTGTGATTGATCTCTGGTGATTCAGAACCGAGCAGCTTCACGGCAGCTGGTGGTGACACATCGAGTGGTTTTTAACAGATTGCTGTGCTTGATTGCCTCCTTTTTCCGGGCTGCTTGGTTATTGCAGGTGCCAGTCTGGAAGGCAACGCTAAATCGGATCCTCACCGACACTGCCACGCTTAAAGCAGCGTTGATGTCTAGACAAGAAAAAAACAGGGAGGTTTCGAGTAGCCTTTTTATCTGCAACAGTGCTTTGTTTAGTGAATTAGAACACTCTGGTGAAAATTTACTCCTTAGGAACCAAATAGCCTTGAGCTTTGAGTCTGTGATGGCCGTTCCGCTGCTGATAAAAGCATGTCAGAATCGTCGTGCGCCTTGCGCTTGGCCGGTCCCGCTGTCGCAACAGGAAGCGAGCTGACAGAAATACGCGCCAGCCGGCTGAGGTCACGCCTGCTGCTCCCGAGTGCCGGGGAGCCTTTTTTTCTCCTCGACACAGATTGTTTCCGTGTGAAGTTGTCCGCATTGCAAAATGACGGGAACATCCTGGAGTGACGGCGGCAGAGCGAACCAGAGAGCCGGGGAGTCTGCAAAGAATGGGCGTGCAGTGTCGGCTTCAGCTTTGGGAGAGCAGGATCCATAAAGGAGGAGTTGCTTCCTGCTGTCTTACAAGTTGTCCTGGGCCAGAAATTGCTGGACCGAGATTTTTGCCTAAGTAGACTTGTTGGCTATGTTGCATATTTCTCAGAATCCCAGTGACCCTTCCAGCATGACAATTAGTAAAAGGAGACGTGGTAACGTGTGGAGCTGAGCGTTGCGCAGAGAAGCTGCTCGCTGCTGGGGACGGTCGGCGCTGTGGGAGCGTGCGGCTGCGGGCGGGCGTGTGCACACACGTCCCTGGCGACAGAGTTAAAGCTACAAAAAGCCACGTTAGCCAGTGACAGGAAAATGAAATTATTAATCTTCTTGCTTAGAAGATTAATTGCCGTGCATCCAGATTGGAAAGTTATGGCTGCGGTATGGCTTTGAAAGGTACAGCAGTTTATTCAAATGCCAACTTTCTTGGCATCTAGGAACTAATTACCAAGCAACGGATGGAAGGAAGTGTTAATCCACCTGGTTAAACGTTCTCTTTCCTGTAGAAGATGCAGCAAAGATAGAAGGCTAACATTTTCATATAGAAAAATAAATGTGTGAGCTAAACAGTTGCAGCTTGTTGAACATTTAACTGGTTAGTCGTGCTGTAAGCCGATTTACTACGCAGATTAAGTGTTCTGATCTGATTTTTTTTTTGTAGGAATGGAACAGCGGGATAAAGTAATCCTGGTTTTGTAACAGCGGGTCCCAGTGTGCGCTGAAGTGCAGTCGGGCTAATAAACCGTGATGAGACCGTCGTGCCGAGGCTCAGATTTCCTTCTCGGAAACCTAGTGAGAGAGTTAACTTTCAGTTTCGTGCTGGAGCAGCGAGAAGCACCGTGTGCCGCACATGCCGGGCGGTGATGGCGTGTTCGGCACAGTGAGATGCTCTTGTGTACGCTGTCTCTAAGCGACGCGCAAACAGACGCTGTATCCAGCGCCCTGAAACCCGGGAATGGGATGAGTCGGCTCCGCGGCGGGCGGGTGGTCAGGCTCGGCTCAAACTCGCTTTCCTCTTGGTGAAACGTAAGAAAGGGTTCAGCCATGAACTGTTAATCATGGCTGCTGATCAGAAAATCAGTGCAAAGGCTGCGTTGGGAAATAGTAGGCCTAGAGAATAACGCCTGTTTTGTCACTGGCCTGTTAGTCAATTTTGCATAACCTCAGGTCGCTGAATTCCCTTACGCTTTTACTGCTGTTTCAAAGCTTCCAGCTCGTTTTTGCTTTCTTAGTTTCTATTCCTACTTCTTTCTTCTGCCTTTTCTGTGTTTCCTTGTTTTGCTTTTTGTGTTGATTCCGTTTGGTTCCTGTTCAAAGGCTTTCTCTTGCCAGTGTTGTGAATCCCCAAACTTAAAATAGACCTGTCTGGGCAGTGTGTTAAATTAAGAGCAGTGTTGCATTTGCTGAAATGTTCACTTCTGGATTTGAGCTTTTTGACACTTACGCAAGGTAACAGGCTGAAATGTCCTGCCAAAGTGCAAAAAAGCAAACAAATATGCAAAAAAATGGCCAGGATTTTTTTTTTAGCAGTTCAGTGTATTTTGCTCATTCCTGCACTGTATATTTTTCCTGTTCAGACGTGTCTGCGCTGTAAAGGTTTGCCTTTGCAGCAGGTGGTACTGCTTCTTAGAGCCTTTCCCAGTGATTGATGGTGCAGCACTTCTGGTGAAAGAAATCACAAAATTTAAAAATGTCTGGAATTAGTGGGCTGCCCACCTGTTTTGTGGCCAGAAAGGAAGCGGTGTCTTGTTTGAAAGTCTGGGATGTGTTTGGGGTAGGGGGGGGGTTACCCTTTTTTTTTTTCCCTTCCCCCTCTCTCTTTAAATGTGAAGTTCTCATGTCAGCGGGTGGTTTGCCAAGGGCATGGTCCTTGCCTACAGCTAAAAGCTGCCAAACCCATGTGATAGAAATTCCTGAACTGATCCCTTATCCAGAAACATCAGCTGCTGCTGTGGCTCTGTGGTCGAGGTGCGACGGCGTCGGGCTTTGCAGGGGTGCCCGTGGCTGCCCTCCTCTTGGTCCCCACCCCTGCTTTGTGCTCTCACGTGTGATGGTGAAGTTAATCGGACTGAGAAATGGGTTTTCTTCCTGCCAGGCTAGCTTTCAGCCGGCTCGGTGGAGATGCCTGTGGCGGCCAAAGGGAGATGGCAGCAGCTGAGGATGGTGGGAGGGGAGGACACAACACCTTTTCTCAGCAGCTCTGCCAGGTGATGTCACCTCTGTGTTAATGAAATGGTAGCCCCAGGGCGCAGTTTGTGATCAGCATCAGCTGATGTTGAGTAGCTGCTGCTGCTGGAAGGGACAGATTTCCCCTCTCCCTGCACTGGTGCCAGCTCCCCTGCCCCGGGACTGGAATGGTGCAGCCATGGGGTGGCCCAAGGAGGCAGCTGTGACAACTGGAAACCAGTAATGGCTTTTACTGGGTGTAATTCCAGTCTGAGCTGCCTGTGCCTGCTGCAGGTGCAGGGGAGGGGTGCAAGGTCTGGGGATCTGTACCCGAGGCTCGGGGAAGGGGCCCTGCTTCGGGCAGAGCTCTTGAAAGGAGAAGCGTGGGAGGGAGGAACCCGGCGTGTGCTCCTCGCCCTGGGTTTGGGTTGGTGCTGGCCGGGGCTGTTCTGCGTTCAGCGGCTGTGGAGGCCCGAGGCGAGCAGCCCTGGGGAGCCGGCACGGGGCAGGGAGGTGGCTGCAGCCGACGGAGTCCTGCGCTATGGCCGGGCTCATGCTGAAGCGGACGGAGGCCTGCGCTATGGCCCGGCTCATTGCCCGCCGGGCTCATTGCCAGCCAGACCCGGGGCTCGGTGCGACTCGGCCGTGAGTGCTGCTCGGGCACGCAGGCGGCCAGGGAATTCCCGTTCTGGCAGCAGCTGCGGTTGTGTTGGCATACGGGGAGTGTAAAATTGCACCTCAGATTAAGGAATAACAAATTCAGTAATTATTTAGGCTGCTTTCTGCTCTACTAACTCTTATGTCAATATTGTACCCAGCCAATTTTAGATGAAATTATTCTACATAAGTAAAAGGTGGTTGCTGGCTTGGAGGAGGGAAGGACCTTGTGTGAAAATAAACTTTCTAGTGTAAATAAATACTGGGCAGTTAAATACTAAGAACAGTTCTTTACTAAGGTTTTATGTAATGGTGTTTGTATACATTTTTTTGTAAATTATTTTAATAACTGACATGTTTGGAAAGTCCAAGTTCTATAGTAATGTGCAGTAGAGTGCATTTTGCATGAGAAATATATATTGTAATAATTAAAGGGGAAAAAACAAGGTATAGAAAAGACATTATGATTTGATATATTTAGGCAGTTTCTTGTGTAGCTTAGCTTTGTCACAGATTCCTTGTTTGTTTTAACGACTAATTTGTGGCAGCTTGACATAGGAGTTTTTCCTTTGGAAACCAACATATGACCACAGCTAGATTTCATCCAGACTGGATTTAAGCATTCAGAATTTTAATCCCCTACAGCAGGACTTTGCATTTCCTTCGGAAGGGATTAATACTTTCACAGATCAAATGCACTGTTTTGGAAGAAGCCACATCTTGTTTTATTGGCCTAACATACACTGTGAGTGAAGGTTTGGTTTTTTTGAAAGTTGAAAAGACGACGGGGAGAGCTTGACTAGCTAAAACTTTGTTCATGGTGTGAAATAGGTTAGCAGTAAGTGTTTAATTTGCTGGGATAATAGTCAACTGGAAGCACTTAGTTGTAATTTTTTATTTGGATCCAGAAGTTTAAAAACTATCAAAGACTGCTCGCTGAAACGTCACTTCCTCCATCGAATGAAAGTGCTTTAAATCTGGTTCTGCATTTAGAGCACAATTATATTTTTGCCATCTAGAAAGTTCAACTAATATTCATCTCTGATGGACATGTGGCTCAAAATTATCTACCTGGACTTGTTAGCTAGACTTAACTGTTTCAACAGTATTTTTCTCAAACTGCACCATACTTGGTTTAATTCTCAATATCTCGTATTATAAACATGTATTTCAGAGGAGGGGTTGGAGTTCTGAAGGACAGTGCGGGGCCTCGCTGCGGTGACTGCACCTCCGAGAGTGGCCCTGAAATCGGATTTGGCTTGAGCCGCGGTGGTTCCAATGAACTAAATTGACCACCTCGCTTGGGAGAGGAGCCTCGGATCCGTTTCTCTTACGAGGGAATTTCAGGTCCCCTAATGCGACCAGTCTGTTGTGGTTTCCCTGCAGCTGCGCAGGATGAGCCTGCCTGCTTTCCAGGATGATTAGCTTCTCGAGCCTGGGCTGCCTTTAATTAGAGCAGGCAGGCTTCGCTCTTCAGCGCTGGATGGCTGAGATGATAGAAGAGATCAAAGCTGTGGCTGTTAGATGGGTGACCAAGTAAAGTTTGATGGAGGACCTCAATGGAGAGAGGAAGGAGCAGAAATTGGCTGCCAAGAAAGCCAATGGGATCCTGGGGTGCATCAAGAAGAGTGTGGCCAGCAGGACGAGGGAGGTTCTCCTTCCCCTCTAAACTGCCCTAGTGAGGCCTCATCTAGAGTACTGTGTCCAGTGCTGGGCTCCCCAGTTCAAGAAAGATGAAGAGCTACTGGAGAGA